TTAATATGAAACTTTACGTGGCAATCATCCATTGAAGGAGAATGTTGAAAGGATTCGGAAAGTCGAGTCTACAAGCCAAATCCCAACCGGCCACATCACACTTAGTGACATCGTGGGGTCCGCTTTGGAAATCCTATATAAAGCATTTTTCTTTCAATTTTCTCTCCATCTTGGTGAGGGAGGGAGACTCTGAGACAACTTGTCATTCCTCTTCCTTGGAGTTCAAGTTGAGGTAGAATTTCAACTCCATTAGGGTTTTAGAGGAAGTAAATAACCTAACACTCCTCGTGGGGTTTTACATCTCTTTCTACCACAAGTTTGGTTGGATTCAAAAACTCTTTCTTTTGGGGTTTTTTCAGATACCCAGATTTTGAAGAGTGGTGAGGATACCATGGGTTCAAGTTCAAAATCCATGGTTGTCCGTTCTGAAATTGACCTAGAAGCGGTGAAGCAGTGGTACATTCAAGGTTTGGATAAGCGGATGGACCCAGGAAAATCAGAGATTAAGGAGAAAGCAAGGAAGCATCTCAGGGCTACGGGGTGGGATTTTTGGTACGCTAAGAAGGGGACGAAGCAGGAGTTGCGGTACACTTCTCCGACGGGGATTGTTTACTATTCGCTTCGAATGGCATGCAAAGGCTGTATGGAACTAGAAGGAGGCGCCGCCGCCGCCGCCGGAACCACTGAGTCTGGTAGCGTGATCACGTCTATTGAAAGTGAAAATCCGGTTAAGAACGAGCATTCTGAGGATCTGATGGTATTGCCGGGAAGAAGGATGGGGAGGTTGAAGACGGGGGAGGAATGCACCGGAGTTTCAACTCCGGCCACGCCCAGAAGAGGAAGAGGAAGGCCGAGGAAACAGGGGCTTGAGTCTTCACCTGAAACAAAATCGACCCAAAATAATGGGTTGGAATCGGAAGGTACATTCGCTAGAGGAGAACCTGTTAGTTTCCCAAGCCCAAGAAGCGGAAAACGCCGAGGAAGGCCGAAGAAACCCAAGGTTGACTTTCAATCCGATAAGCGGTTGAAGACTTTGAACAATGATTCCGACCCGGAATATCGACCGGCAGGAGGATCGCCTTCTCCCTCAAAGCTCAGAAGGGGAAAGACACCGAAAAAGCCCAAGTCAAGAAACGACGTGAAACCTGATAAGCCCATCACTCGCCGTGTGAAGCAATTGAGTTTTACTGTGCGACAGGGGTTACCTCCGACCGACCATCATCGGAATCCTCGAACCATTCTCTCATGGCTGATCGACAACAATGTGGTATCGATTTTGGAAAAGGTACAGTACCAAGGGAAGTCAAAGAAAGGCCGGGTAACTCGCGAAGGAATCCAATGCGACTGTTGCTTCAGGATATTTACTCTCACCCATTTTGAGGCTCATGCCGGTAGCACCAACCACCGTCCAGCGGCTAACATAATCTTGGAAGACGGTCGCTCTCTTTCCGATTGTCAAAAGCAGGTACAGAATCAGATACCCAGAAACTCAACATTGCATTCACAAGATGGTTCAGAGGAGATTCCACTTGAATCGAACGATTCAGTGTGCTCTGTTTGCCACTATGGAGGTGAGTTGCTTTGTTGTGATAAATGTCCATCTGCATTCCACAAGGATTGTTTGGGTTTGAGGGAGATTCCAGCCGGTAATTGGTTTTGCCCGCCTTGCTGCTGTAAAGTTTGTAGCCGGAGCAGATGTCAAGAAGGAGATGAACCTTCAGAGAAGGATATTTTTGTCAGCTGTGTCCAATGTGAACTCAAATTTCATCTCGGCTGTCTCCAGAATTACGTGCCCGGGAATAACTGGTTTTGCAGTAGCAACTGTGAGTACATATTTTCCGGCCTCCAGAAGCTCGTCGGAAAACCAATTCAGTTGGGGGAGGGCAGTCTCACCTGGACATTAGTCAAATCCATGGAGAATTCAGATAGCCATGATCCTGAGGCCAAGGCAGAGAACCACAGTAAGCTAAGCATTTCTCTTGATGTAATGCATGAGTGTTTTGAGCCACATAAGGATGCTTTCACCGGAAGGGACCTTGTTGAGGATGTGATTTTCAGCCGAGAATCAGAGCTGAAACGCTTGAATTTCCGGGGATTCTATACTGTCCTTCTGGAGAAGAATGATGAATTGGTTTGTGTGGCAAATGTGAGGGTATATGGAGAGAAGGTTGCTGAGATGCCGCTTGTGGGAACCAGGTTTAAGTACCGGAAACAAGGGCTGTGCCGGATTCTGATGAATGAACTGGAGAAGCAGCTGATGGGATTGGGTGTTGAGAGGTTGGTTTTACCAGCAGTGCCTGCAGTGCTTGATACATGGGTAAACAGCTTTGGATTTTCCAAGATGACGGCTCAGGAGAGATTGATGCTGATGGATTATACATTCTTGGATTTTCAGGGCACTGAAATGTGCCAGAAATTCTTGAAGAAGTCCATTGAAGTTGATGATCATAGTGGGGATTTTAATCCGCACAATTATCTTTCAGAGTTAAAAGAACATGTTGAGAAGCAGGGTTTTAGAGCTAATGGTGGAGGAGAACCACTGCAGGCAACAGCCTAGTCATTCTCGTTTTGGTGATTTTGTGCACTTCATTGACAAATAGGTTGTGTAAAATCTTTATCTCCAGGTAGATTATTGTTTCCTCTGTTTCTTGAACAGCAACATCTTATGCCCTTCCTGAACAAAACCACCTTTTTACCATATAAATCGTGTTTCTATCTGCTTATTATTTTGGTTCGTTGGTTCTGTTATTTTGGTTGTGCTTAGTTAATGTGCTCTGGTTTCAAGGTTTAAGGTCGGTAGCCTTACATGCAATGTTTCATGGTATTCTGTTATATTTGAAATGATGAAATCTACATGGTGAACACCCAAAATTAGCCGCATTTGAACATACGTAGAGATGTATTTAAGAACAAAAAATGATAAAAAAGAAATATTAGTATGCCCATGTATGTGGATTGAATAAATACAACTGATTTAGATGGAAGAGTGGTGAGGCAATTTATGTGGCGGCAGATTTCAATCACTCCAGTTGTCCTGTTCATTAGTGCGTGCTTCATTCTGCTTGTTCAAGCCCAACATTTTAAGGTACTGGTTTAATAATAAGAACCAATATATTAAGAGTTCCTTATTTTATAATTTAAACTGCTCTACCCTGTAAAACAAGAATAATTAAATGAGGGAAGGAGCCCCAGTATCAGGGGCACACCCTCGTCTATTATTTAAAGTTGTACAGTCTTAAATGTTAAGTACGTAATGTACTATTTCATCAGAAATTAATCCGACTGGAGACCAGACAAGGTTTTGTCCAAGATTGCCACCTGTGTATAGTTTTCTACAGTAATGAAGAAATTGGTCACCCAGCAGCTGATAGTTTCCTAGATGATGTTTAGGAAAGCAGTCATCTACACAAACTCAGTTAGATTACATAATTGTACGTGAAACTGCACTATATGTGAATGTGCAGTAGTAATTTTGCAATTGGAACGAAATAATATTCATGATGATAATTGTATGTTGTAAGAAGATAGTCATATCATATACTTCTCATCAAATTATCTTACCAACACAAGTGAGGATGTTATGACTTGCAATAAATGGCACAAGTTGCCTATTAAATTAGTACTGGAATGCCTTTCTACTATTTTAGAAACCACAGAATGTTGATTGGGCGATTGTTGTACCCGATCCTGCGAACTAAACCAGAAACAGTTCCAGCATTCATAGTGCCCACGAAACGTCAAGGAGGTTTTACCGGACCAAATATCTAATGCTTAAAAATTCAGAGAACAGAATTAAGGGGTGTAGGTTCCCAAACAACCTTATTTATGTAACACTACCATGCAAAATTAAATAGACAACGAAGGCACCAAAAGAACAATTAACTTTCACAACTCTCATGCATGGAACAAAAGTGACAGCTGAATCCTGAGATGTGGCTAATTGAATGCCCTTGCTGGTCTGTAGGTGCACTGTTTCAGAGTTTACAGGTGTATCGTGGCCAGATTCCACTACCTTATTCTTGAGCCATACACTGAAATCCAACAAGATCTTTTAATTGTAATCTAAAGGTTAAGCAACTATTCATCTTGTGATTAGCTAGTTCTATGTCATGAGTAATAAGAACTTGGCATTCACCTTAAACATCACTTTATAATAATTATTTACACACCGGCCTAGGCTTAACCAATATCGATTCTTCATCAAAACAAATTTAGTGCCCATTAACTGGTATGAAGTCATAAAGTATGAAGCAGATATGATTTAGAATCAGACCACGAAATATTTAAGCAAGAGCTTAGGGAAACAAGCATAACTGAACCTGCACTTAGAAGATGCATGCCATCCTCAGTTACTTTCAAACCAGTTACAATACCATAATGAGCCGGCACGGTCATGACCATACAACATCCCTGTATGTAATATTTGCCTGATAGACCCCTTAGCTGCCATTTGAGCAATCGTTGAGTGTTTCGGGCCATGCCCATAAGTAGCATGTTTCTTGTGTGGCACTTATAAATTTATAAATGAGTTCTGGCCAGCTGCCAAAGACTGAATAAAACCAAAGTGAGAATGCCAGAATGAAAACAAGTAATAAGAACAAAAAAATTCAGAGCAAAGGAAGAGTTATGTTGTTAACCATTTCTCATTGCTTGACACAATTGTGCTTAAAATTAAAAGGAGTTAATTTAAAACATAAAATATGCTCTTGTCCATTTTCATCATGCTTGTCAACAGAAAACATACTCTTGTTCTTTGCAATACAGCCAGCTCTCTTATAAATTGTAGCTCGTTGAATATCATAAACAGCTGCTGATGCAGCAAATAGCAAATACCGTCCCTTTGTCAAATCAACCTGATCAAAACATGAAGAATGCCTCCAAATTAAGCTATGCCTGAACAACCCAAGGTGATCCAAAAACAGAAGTTTTAGCTAAAGGCTATCTAAACAAGATTTCTTGCATAAATTGATTGCTAATTTAGCAATTACAAAACAGAAATTAAAATTCAATCACTTCACAACAAAAACAATCTGCAACATCCTTTAAAAAAAAAATCTAACTTCAAAAACGAAAAAAAAAAAAAAAAACAAAACTAGAAACTGCAGTAATTAAAAAGGATTAAGTGGAAGTACTTGAAGGGAGTTGATTGAGCCTATGTGAAGAGAGACAATAACTTTGTGATTGGGGATTTAGAGGTCGGAAATCCAGCCGGATTTTACCCGCTTCTCTGCCTCCGATTCTTTTCCACACTTTCTGAGCATCTTCGACCGGCAAACTCTCCTCATTCACCTCACGTCATCGCCTTTCTTCTCAGGTCCAACTCGTGTTTTCCGGCTACTGAATCTTGCCTTGCTTGATTTGAAGAGACTTTCTATTTTTCTTTGATTCACGAGCATACTCAGGAGAATCTGAAACACGGAATCTGTTGTCTTGTTTGTGCAGATACTGGCGTCATTCAGATGATAGAACAAATGGGCTGTTAGATTCATGAGATGGATCGGCCTAATTTTATTTTGTGGGCTCCTTCGGCTCTTGAAAGCCCACCTTACGAGTTTCTTGTTTCTATATTGTCTCTTCTCCATTTCACCCCATATATATATATATATATATATATATAAAATGATCATTTGCTTATTCCAATTTTATCAAGAGTTCAAGACTTAAACCACCGAATCAGAATTTTGGCTTGTTTTGGACTTTAAGTTGATAATTTTGCGAAAAATGGAAAGCCTTTTTGAGAGCTAATTTCAACTTTAGATTTATGATATCATCTTTTTTTTTTTTTTTTTAGGTCTTCAAAGTTTAAACATCTAATGTTGGCTTCATATTAAAACTTTTAAGTTAATGAATATTTAACTTATTGAAATATAATATATCTTAAAATTCTTTTAGTATAATATATGTTGTAGATTACTAAGGATTGTTTAAACTTATGGCTAAAAAAATGTGTTTAAATTAACAGTTTAAATATACCAAATATAGGATATTAATATCTAAATTTGTTAGGAACTGCAACCATATTTTATGGATATACGTAAACAAAAGATATAGTTATAATATCACATCATATTGTAAATTTATAATTATGATATGTTATTATCTAATTAAATTTTTTATTTAAAAATTTACTCATAATATTTTTTATATCTACTCATTTAATGACAAATCAAGAGATTGATTTATAATTTTATATATCATTCTAACTATAAAATTATGAATGCAAAATCATGGAAACAAGGTGTTAATGCATGGATATGGTGCAATGAAATTATAATTGTAATTTGTATGAATTCATTGTGAGTATCTCTTTATGGAATTTTTAAATCGAGACATGGGGCATATTGGAAGGTCGGTGAATAATTAATGGAGGTTTCGTGGGTACTGAATACTGATACAAATTAATTAAAAATTAAACAAAACTGCTAAGCAAATTTGGTAGGGGGTTGGACTCTCTTATCTAACCTACTTAAAGTACAAAAAAGACATTGTAAACAGACCTCAAAATTCAAAAGGAGGGGAGTGAGTGGAGAAGCATGCAATGCATAAAAGAAGACAATAAAAGATGCAAGGCACCATCACTGCATGTTCCCTCGAATCTCTGCTTCTTCTCACTTTCCAAGGCAACTTTTTTTTTTCTTTAAATTGGAAAAAATAATAATAATATATTTAATTTAAGCAAAATACGGTATTTTCTTATATTCCTTTGCTTTCCTCTCATTTTTTTCATCTCTTTTTATTTAAAAAATAAAATAAAAGACTCATATAAAAAAAAATTATCATCTGAGTAAAAAAAATTTTCTCCCTCTCTATCTTTTTTCTCAAACTAAATATATATCATAAAAAAATATAATTTTTTTAATCTATTTACTTAACTTTTTTACATATTTACAACTTGAACCAAATATTTGTAGCTCCATTTAGAGGGGAAAATATTTAAGTCGATCCTCACTTGACTAGACTACTAGATTCAGAAAAGTGGAAGGGCTCATATCACGTCACGTGATGTTCCTTTTTTCCCTTCCCTCAAGGACTGACTACTCCTTTATTTCCTTTCCATAACCACAAAAATTTCTTTAATTAGACCTTAAATCAGGAGATTTAAAACAAAGATGATTGCTTTTGGAAACTACCAAAAACTTTACTCTTTTATTCATCTTCACAGGAATAAGGTCCCCTTTTCCACCGGAATTGGATCTTGACTTTAGATTGTTTTCTTAAAAAAAAAAATTATAATTCTTTAATTATATATTATATGTTATTACAAATTTTATTTATAATTATATATATTTTTTTATTTAATATTATGTT